CCATATAGAAATTTATTTGAGAATTGATCCCTGGAAATTTGTGAGAGGCGAAGGTCCATTAGTCTAAGTAAGTATGGTAAGGAAAAAGACCAAAATACCCTTGAGTGAACACACTGGAAAATTAATTGCACTTGAAGAAATTTTCATTTGCACATGCAGATGATATATTGCACTCTATTAAAGTTTGGTTGCACTTAGCCTTAAAGAACACAATGAAAGATCAATTGTACCTGGATGGATTTTTATTTGCATATATGAATGATGTGTTGCACTCTATTGAAGTTTGATTGCACCTAGTCCTAGGTGAACACAATGGGAGATCAATTGCACTTAAAGGGATTTTTATTTGCACATACAGATAATATTACACTCTATTGAAGTTGAGTTGCACCTAGCCTTAGGGAACACAATGGAAGATAGTTGCATTTAAAGAAATTTTCATTTGCACATACAGATAATGTGTTGCACTTTATTGAAGTTTGGTTACACCTAGTCTCAAAGAATACATCGGAATATTAATTGCATTTGGAGGGATTTTTATTTGCACATACGGATTATGTGTTATATTTTATTTAAATTTGGCTACATCTAGCCTTTGGCGAATACAATGAAAGATTAATTGTACTTAGAGTTGAAGTTTGCTGGCACGTAGTCTTAAGTGAACATAATAGAAGACCAATTGCACTTAGAAGGATTTTTATTTGCGCATACAGATGATATGTCACCCCGTTCAAACAACTAATTTGCAGATCTCTAGGTTCGAGTGTCTCTCGGTGGATCTCACATCTATTCTGGTCATCAATATTCGTGAAGCTCACAATTTCTGTAGTAGTCTTTCATGGTTGCCATCATCAAATCATTCACAAATATGTGTTTGAGATTCATTGTCTTTAGACTTCTTTGATTTATGTTGCTCAATGGTTTCAATTTTCTATGGTTTAGATTTTATTGTTTCAAGGTTTCCATTTCTGATACTTGTTTCATGGTTTTGATTGAGGCATGGGTGTGGGTTGTTAGTTTTGGTCCAAGTGGCCGGAAGTTTCGGGGATGAGAAAACCTGGGGTTGGAGGCCCTTTTTTTCTCTTAATATTTTTGAAGGATATTTTTGTAAATTAATAGTGTAAAGATATATGCATATCAAACAAAAAGTTTGGGGTCCCATATACTAATTATAGTCTCAATTAGAAACATTTCCCCGATTTTCCCTTAAAATAAACCAAAAGCTATTAAAAACGTAGAAATAAAAATCAGATGAAATTTAAATACTGAATGGTCCAGAAGGGGCAGTCCATGAACGCCAACATCCAAGGGCCTCCGGCATCAACAATAACACAATTTTTTTAAATGAAAGGATAAAATGATATGACTATGCAAATTTATCTTAAAACTTCTTTTTTATAAATATTAGGCACCTAAAAATTTTTCAAGATGCCAATTTGTCCTGAAAATTTAAAATCATAAATATATTAACTCAAACTATTGAAAAAAATAACGTATAGAACCAAAACAAATTTTAAAATTTCAAGACAAATTTTCTTTAAAAAAATTTCGGATGCTAATGCTATGAAAATTTTTAAAACAAATCTGACTGTATCTTAACTCAAAATGGTACTAATTATTTAAATGTTTTACAAAAAAAACCAAAACACAAGGGACCAACATAATTAAAAAAAAAAAAAGCCTACAAAAAAGGTTCCAGAGAAAACGATAATATATTCTTATTCTTGGTTTCCATCGCAGATTAATTGTCTATGTACCCCAGAATAACACAAACACGGCAAAAGCAAAAAAAAAAAAAAAAGCTGAGAAAGATATTTAAATGCATTTTTTTAGTGACCTCATCTAGTATTCTAAACAGGCTATCTTTCAGGTACATCAACAGCCCAGACTGATATGGATTCGCTAATTGTATGCATATCGAAAGGTGAGATAGCTAATCAAAAGATTTAACACCTTCCATATCCAAGAGGGAATCAAACTCTCGATTTTAATTAAAAAAGGATGAGCTCTACCGCTCAACCATACGTTTTTAGTTAGATATTTAAATGCTTTTGCATAAATGGAAACGTGCTTTATGAACTCAGATTTCTGTGAGAGCTGATGGGATCACTTATCAGAAAAATGTTGCATGAATCAATACCCAACTTTGACTTTTTAAACAATACTACCTCCGGTCTTAATTATAAGACCCAGTTGACTAATTTGAAGAGATTAAGAAAAAAAGTTAGGTAGTTATTTGTAATAAATAGGTATTGTCTTTTCTAAAATATCCTCACTAATCAATTATATTAGCTAGAACTAAAATTATTAGAAAGATTACCTTAGAAAAAAATGCATAAATATAAGAGATAAAATGAATTGGGGTCTTATATTTAGGACCAAAATAAAAGTCAAACAGAGTTTTATATTAAGGACCGGAAGTAGTACTACTTAAAATTTTATAGAACAAATATAATGACATCTCTTTTATTTTAATTATAGGCGTATCTTTTCTGTTATGAAAATGTATATGAAAATCTACGCAGACTTTCCCTAACATTTGAAGTTATTTTCAAGGTAAAAAATGAAGCTATATTATAAAAATATTCCTTTTAGTTTTAAGATTCGATTTATATCAGCCAAAAACACACACATGTTTTAAACTTTTTTAACACATTATAAAATTAATCAGTGTTATAATTATTCTTGTTTGGATTAGCTTTGTCAGCCATAATTGAAGACTCGATTTAAATACATTTTATAAACCAAATTAAAATCTTGATAGCTATCGGTCTTGATAGACTTCCGTTTTGAACACCCTTACTATAAACATATTTCTCTTTGTTTTTTAGCTCTTTTTACGTCTTTTTTAATTATTTTTACACATTTTATTGAGTTCTATCCAATTTTTTTTTCCTCTTTTGTCTTTTTTCTTACATTTCAATTAACCAAGATTTGAACAGGACTATTTCAAAAAATTTTAACTTATTAAGTTCTATGTCTGACAGAAATAATATATATGGTTTTATTTTTAAAATCACACCAAATAATAATATATTTATTTTCATTCCATTTTAATATATGTAATATTACGTGCGTTTTCTTCATAATATCAACAATCTTTCATTCACGTGATTTTAAGGGGTGTTTGGATGGATACTAAGGTTTTAAAAGTAATTTTACGGTGTATGAAATATATATATGAAAAAATTTATCTCGATTTGCAAAAAAATACTTTTCAAAAACACTTCTCATGCCATCCAAACAATCCACAAGTACATGTTTGGTTTAGAGGGGCGAGCTCAAATAAGTTTACTTAGGTCTAAACATGTGGTTATAAAGTTTATTTATCATGTTTTACTAATATTTTTTAAATTTTAATGCATTGCAATGTTAGTTTATGGGGGTACTTGGATAAAACCAAACCATGGTTTAGAGAATAATTTCTAGGAGAAAAGTGATTTTTGAGAATAGATTTTCTGAAAAAGTGATTCTAATAAAGTGAAAGTATTTAGATAGTTGTTGTCAGAAGTGCTTTTTTATATAAAGAAATTATTAAAAAGGATATAAGTTTAAATGATAACTACATAGAAGATATATTTCATAATATATGTTTATTTGAAGTAATAAATATGTTAATAATATATATTTTGCCAACATAAGAAGTAAGACATAAATAATGTAAATAATAAATAATTATTGTGTGTATATATTTATAAAATAATTAAATATGTTTTTAGGAAAATGATTTATTTTGCCAATAAAAAAAAATTATACAAGCCATCTATCAGATCCTCAAATGAAAACTATGGCATAAATGCATGGTTATGGTACATACAACACTGATCAGATTGACTCTTAACAAATATTTAAAACTCCATTAACTTGTCTCACAACACTAGGAAAACAGGTGGCGAACAATTGATGACCAGGTCCAGAATGGCTTCCCAGTCATCTCCAACACTTGAGACTCCCAACACATCGTCATCACGGAGATCTTCCATGAAATTTTTACAGTTATAACCTGTTGGTCTAAAAGCTTCTACGGCCAACATGATATTGTCCCCCTCTCCCAAGCTTTGCACTTTGTTTTCACTCTCATTTGCGACGTCGACGGTAGGGCTGGTAGAGGATTAAGCTGGAAGTAAACTTTGATTGATCTACCCAAAGGTAGAATTACCGTTACTACGACATTTGGAGTTGGTAGGAACATCGTACGAGGAGCTCAACGTGGATGCCAGCGACTCAAGGTTGTTGGTGGCGAGCACAATGGCATTCATGCTATGCATTTTGTGGGTGTTCTCTATTGAGGGCTTCGACGTGGACGACCAAGAATTCTGCCATACTTTGAGCATGTCGAGGTAGGGAGGTGGCGATGGCCGAAGTGTGGCATTCTTGAGGACGAGCAGAGTCAGTGAAGACTGGGAAGAGGAGTAGGGGTAATTATTACTCCAACAACTATTTTTTATTCTTCAAAAGCGACCCTCATCTGCTTATTCACAAACCATAGTTTGTCTAGCCAAAACCAAGATTTTGCCGGAAGCCATGGTTTTTTTAAAAAAAAACGGGTGTTTGGCAATCAGCCTTCCCAAATTATGATTTGGGGCTCAAAAACACTTCTAGAGTAATTATCAAACACTTCCTATGTCGTGCCTCACTTGGGAAAGTTATTTTTGTGTTTGGAAAATCCCGATAAAGGTCTAGTAATGAGAATTTTTTTTTTGACCAGCAAGTAATGAGAATTTCTTCATTGATAATAATTAGTAAATATAAATAATATTTAGAATAATAATTTTTAATTATTAAATGATCATTGTATTAATGATCCTATATGTATGGCAACAAATATATATATATATATGTGTGTGTGTATCATTTTTCAAATCTAAATATCTCATAAATTTTTGTTTACTTTGGCTGGTGGGACCAACGTATCCCCTAAATCGATCGCCTATTCTAGTTCATTGTGAAGAGCTGTAAGAAGAAGACCGGTCGTCCGATCTCCAGATTTTTACAAGAAACCAAAGGCGGTTCGTGTTGTATGTGCGCCTGCACACATGTAAATAACAAATAGCCCTTTCTTTCTCTTCCAATAATCTCATGCCCAGCCAAATTTCCAAACGTTGCTCACCGCTCGTTCTGTACGTCTGAGCCCTTTCCCAGCCTCTCTCTCTCTGCGTCTTTGCTTCACCTTGTTTCCATTCATGGGTTGAACTTGTTTTCCCCTTCTTCTTCGAGGCACATGGAGTGGGACAGCAATTCAGATCTAAGCGGTGATGATGAGGAGACCTTCGCGTTTAACGATGGTGGCCTACTTCCCTTTCCGGTGGAAAACTTGCTCCAAACGACTCCCTGTGGGTTCGTCGTCACTGATGCTCTCGAGCCTGACCACCCTATTATTTATGTCAATACTGTGTTCGAGATGGTCACTGGCTATCGGGCAGAGGAAGTGCTTGGTCGCAACTGGTCAGTTTTTGAGCTTGTCCCAATTTTACTCAATTGCTTTTCCTTTGGCTCTGGCTGTTGTTCACAGGAAATGAGTTCTGTAGACGCATTTCGCCGGGATTGATTGGCGTTTGGTGTCTATTCTTGGATTTCAATTGTTATTTGTTTTATGTTTGATGTCTGAATATGAAATTCCACACCATATCTGCGAGTTGGTCTCGGTTAGATCAGATATTTGGTTTAGGCCTACCCAACTACAGGTTTCTGGCTTGAAACCCTAGACCCTTTTATCTAGTTTCGGAGGACGTTGACAACTATATTATTCCCCCTTTATCTTGGGTCCATATTCTGGTTCTCTCATTGTCAGTGCAATGATGCTTCAAGCGTTCTGCTTCGCCAAGGGCATAGCGTTTTGGTTTAGGCACGGTTGGTCTCCCAGCTATATGGACAGGACCATTTATTGACATGGTGCGCATGATAGCATCCTTAAGCGTGATATGGCGGCACTTAACTCTGCTACGAATATATGAAGAAATGAGAAAATATCAATTTATTTCTGGCATATAAAAAAATGAGAACATATTAATTATTGGTAGGAAATGCCTTGCTGACCATTTTGATAATGCATATGAGTCCAGTTTAATAATGTTATTATATTCTGTCTGCCGCAATAAAAAGGAATAAATAGCCTGTTCAAGATGAATTGCTAAGGGGGCGCTCAAGGTCTGAGGAGAAAGTGAACATGACATTTCATTGCGAATTGGTCATGACTATTTTTATCTTTTCTATGATTCATGTAGAGTTTTAGAATTATAGAATCAAAGAAACGGACTATTTAAGGTTCGGACCTTTAACATTGGAGTGCAAATTGATAAGATATAGCAGAGAGATTATGCATTTGGTCATTTCTATGATCCAGTCAGCTTTTAGTACTGAAATTGAGTCTATGTATTGAGCATTTCCCATCACTTTATGCCTTGGTGAGTTAAGCAGGGCCAACAATCTGAAGGCAGTGGCATTTTCTGGATGCAGTAGAGGCATTTGGTGTCACGAAAATTTGACCATGCGTTGCTATATTCCTCTTAGTCCAGATGTTTTAGGGGCATTTATCGTTAGGAAAATTTGACCATGCATAGCCATATCCCTTTTAGTGATGAAAGATCCTGCTAGATACCGTGTGAGACCCTATATTCATCACGAAGTCAGGTATAAAAGTTGAGCGCTGGTGCTTTAACTAACCTGGCTGGTTGTGAGATTTCACAGTGGCCTCATATGTGTTTTGAGGTGCATTGGGGTGGTGTTCCTTGACCCACTGGTTTCTTGGGAACATAGTGACCCAAGCATTCTAACGATTCTTGATAACAGCAAGGAGGTTTATTTTCCTTTCAGGGGTGGGGCAAGTTGCCCTTGTTAGACTTGTCTGTAAATTATTCCCATTTATTTTTTGCTTTAGTGGGAGGCTGCTAATGGTCAACTTTATGATGCTCACGAAGGGGATTATTGATAAGTTTGGAAGTGTTTTGTAAGATAAAGCATGTGAGGCCTTGGGTTAATAATTTTCCGTGTAAGGAAAATTTCTTCTGGCTAAATGGTTGTGTGATTTTCACTTGGAACAACATTCCTGTGGAATATAGAGATTAGGAGACGGGTCATCGTAATAGTTAGGATGAAGGTTAATAATAGCACTAAAGCTTTCTCGGGAAATTCATGTATATGGTATTTTGCTCAATCTTTGTTCTCTGCAAGTGTGGCCTGTGGGTGATGATTCCCACACCCGGCTGTCAGGTGATTTGCAGTTAGAGGAGTCCTCTCTTTCAGCTCTTTTGCCCTGCTTGTATTGATTTCTACCTTGCTTAATGCTTTCCTGTTTCCTAAGGTGTTTGGGAACCATCAAAAAGCACTTAAAAAAAGTGCTTTCATGCAAGTCATATTTACCTCGAAATCCGCATAATCACTTTCAAAAAGCTAGTCCAAACACCCCCTAACCCTAAGTACTCTGCTGTAAAGTCTGAGCCCTTTAGTCCTGACCTTATGGCTCTCAATTATTGGAATATGACCGAAGGAACTCTAATGATATAGAAATTTGTGGTTTGATTTGTACTCTTGGTATCTTGGCTCAATAATTTTTCTAGTTTTCCTGATGTTCTGGATTTGCACTTGCAAATTTGTTTTGCACTTTTTTATTTGACTGGCTTCACTTAATGGAATTAGTATTAACGAACTGCTGCGGCTTGTTTATGTCATAAGTCGCTGTCTCCAAGCTTTTATTTCATCTATTAGGAAGTTTTCAAATGCCAATCATCTTTCTGCGGTGTGATGATTCCAGCCTGTTGTGGAGAAAATTGTTTGGGAATTTCTTATGATCAGTGGGTTTGCCTCGCATCTCCTCAGCACATCTTGCTTAATTTTCACATTAAATAATTACTACACTTTTTCCTACTGATCTAGCATGCATGGGATTCACAGTTGGGCTGGGTTACAGTCGATGCTATATTCTTACATTCCTCATCTGAAAGGAATTTCAGCCTTAGATTTCATAACTAGTGATATATTTGTATAGCGTCTTGTTTGATGATAATAATGGTTGGTGGTTATATTTATGTGAGATCAAATTTCTATGCTTCACAACTGCTTCTGAGTGAGTGTAAAATTCATCAGCATTTTCCTTTTTCCCAGAGTCTGTAGGGTCCTGTTTGCATGGCAGATGTCTTTTATGCATCTCTTCACGCAATATTTTGATTATCAGGAGGAAGTTTTTCTCCTCCTAAGATCTATTAGTTTTGAATTTTTGTCTACATTCTGGCATATGGCTTTTGATTTCATGTTTTAAAAGGAATTTTTTCTTTTATTATTAATGAGTCTTTTTTGCCAGGCTTGTTCTATTTTTTATATTCATAACTATGAATATTATTATTGATTATGAATATGAATGAGATCTTTCTCTGGTTAGATTTGTTGGGGCCAGTAGTTGTGCATTTTTCTGTCAAGCTCTCTGCTCATGATTAATTGAGACTGGATATTAATTAATGACTCATTAGATATGCTACAACCTTACTATCCTGTTTCTCTTTCATACTTACCAGTTGTGATGCATTTTTATCTTGTCTTTCTTAGTCTTGGGTATGTATTTATTTAGGGTTTATCAATGTGTTGGTTCCTATGGGTATGTTGAATTTCTACTTTCTAAATAGTGCTTCAATGTAGATCTCCCATGTGGCAAATAATCTTTTGTTACGTCTGTAAACACCTATATAACCTGTTTGCTATAGTTTCATTGAGTTCTTGTATGGGTCCTTAATCCTTCAAGAGTTTATGTTTTTATTAGAAGTCGCTTTGTTAGGGAAATTAATCACATTTCAAATCTGCATTGGTTCAAGTTTGACAGCCATGATGGGACATTCATTTTGCTTCGTGCTCCTTATTGCAAGAGCTGTTTTGGTATATGTTGTGACACGCTTCTTATTAGTCTCTAGAACCTTGAAATTCTAGATTTGGGCAATACCATAATGATGAGAACTGTGAGCATCCATTTCAAGCTATACATCTCGTGAATTGTAGATATTAAGACGCTCATCTTTGATGTTGGTTATAAATTGGAGGTATTCAGAACAATGGTATTTAATTTTTATTTTGTGTGTCTGTGTGTGTGTGTCATTGTGTGTCTATTGATGAATGGTATATTGGAGGAGTAGGTTGCCGATAGAGCACACTAACGATGTATGATTAATGTAGCTGACATCACTTGGTGGGATATGGGCAATGTGGGAATTGATATCTGTTTACAGTTACCTTGTCCTGTGCTTCATGATTAAGGAGCAAACCTTGCATTTGGAAGTTAAAAGAGATGGATATAATCTCTTTATAGTAATTGTGAGAATGTCTTATGCTTGTTTTTATTGAACTACTGTCATGGGTAAGGATTTTCAAAATTGTTTTTATTGAACTACTGTCATGGGTAAGGATTTTCAAAATAATACATTTTTCCTGGCTGGTAGCTCCTGAGGGCTCATGTGTCCTATTGAACTGATAGTTCATGTTTACAGACTTGCCTTTTTCTCTGCGTAGTAGTTTTTATGAACTGATGTTCTTTGTGAATTAAAAAAGGTATTCTGAACTGAATACCTCCTCAAGGGAAATAAAGGAAAGAAAAGAATGGATGGGGATTTTCATATGATAAATTAAACAATACCTAATGCCTCCTTGGCATTGTTTGTTCACTTGAGTCTCTTACGAGGTGATGCTAAATGAACGTGGCTTTATTTTAATTATTCCCCAATGTTTTGCAGCCGATTCCTGCAGTGTCGTGGTCCATTTGCTAAAAGAAGGCATCCATTGGTGGACTCTGCTGTAGTTTCTGAAATTAGGAGGTGTCTTGATGAGGGGATTGAGTTCCAAGGTGAGTTATTAAACTTTAGGAAAGATGGATCTCCACTGATGAACAGATTGCGGCTGACACCTATATATGGAGATGATGAGACAATAACACATGTCATTGGAATCCAGTTCTTCACAGAGGCAAATATTGATCTTGGTCCTGTACTGGCTCCTGCAATGAAGGAATCTGCCAAGTCATCTGATAAATTTCGTACTGCTCTTTCAACGTTGAGTCCCCTTTCAGTGGGGGACCGTAATGTATCTCGTGGAGTTTGTGGGATTCTGCAATTGAGTGATGAGGTAATATCTCTCAAGATACTTTCCCGCCTAACTCCAAGAGATATTGCTTCTGTTAGCTCTGTCTGCAGGCAATTATATGAACTGACAAAAAATGAAAGTCTTTGGAGAATGGTGTGTCAAAATGCATGGGGTAGTGAAACTACACGTGTTTTAGAGACTGTGCCTGGTGCAAGGAGACTTGGATGGGTTCGGCTGGCAAGAGAGTTGACTACTCTTGAAGCCGCAGCATGGAGAAAGCTGACTGTTGGAGGTGCTGTTGAACCCTCACGCTGTAATTTTAGTGCCTGTGCTGTTGGTAATAGGGTAGTCTTATTTGGTGGTGAAGGTGTCAATATGCAGCCTATGAATGACACCTTTGTGCTGGATCTAAACTCAAAAAATCCGGAGTGGCAACACGTCCAGGTGAGTTCTCCTCCTCCTGGTCGTTGGGGCCACACAATTTCCTGTGTAAATGGTTCTAATTTGGTTGTATTTGGAGGCTGTGGAAGGCAGGGCTTGCTCAATGACGTCTTTGTGCTGGACCTGGATGCGAAGCCTCCTACTTGGCGTGAAATATCTGGATTGGCACCTCCGCTTCCAAGATCATGGCACAGCTCCTGTACTCTTGATGGTACCAAGCTAATAGTTTCTGGTGGCTGTGCAGATTCTGGAGTACTTTTGAGTGACACATTCCTCCTTGACCTGTCTATGGAGAAACCAGTGTGGAGAGAGATACCTGTGGCATGGACTCCACCTTCTCGCCTAGGGCACACACTATCTGTTTATGGGGGGAGGAAAATACTAATGTTTGGAGGTCTTGCTAAGAGTGGGCCTCTGAGGTTTCGTTCCAGTGATGTATTCACCATGGACTTAAGTGAGGAGGAACCATGTTGGAGATGTGTAACTGGGAGTGGAATGCCCGGTGCTGGGAATCCTGGGGGCATAGCTCCCCCTCCTAGACTTGATCATGTTGCGGTTAGTCTCCCGGGTGGGAGAATCCTGATATTTGGTGGATCTGTTGCAGGTCTTCACTCTGCTTCCCAGCTTTACATCCTGGACCCCACCGAAGAGAAACCTACATGGAGAATACTGAATGTACCAGGACGCCCTCCTAGATTTGCTTGGGGACACAGCACGTGTGTTGTTGGAGGGACAAGAGCTATTGTACTGGGTGGCCAAACTGGAGAGGAATGGATGCTAGGCGAGCTCCATGAGCTTTCTCTGGCAAGTTCTGTAAATTAGCTATTCTGTTAATGGACAAATTGCTAGGTGTAATGAAGGGACTATCAGGAGGCTCTATTCAGAAAATGTGAAAATCACTATGAGCATCGGTTGGCGGCTAAAGGTTGGGTTGGTCACTGATGACTTGACAAGCAATGCTCTGGTCAGAACTTTTGTATTACGTTGTGTGCTCAATGCGTTTTTCATTTAAGGTTGAACCGGTTCTGGCAAGGGAACTTTGAATGAGGGACATGAGACCGTGTTTGTTTTTTGAGGTTGTGTGAGACTTTGCCCTTCAGTACGCACAATGAATTATTCTTCCTGAATAGATTAGTAGTGTCTGATAACAAGTAGGTAGCGTATTAGGGTAGCTTCTGACTTGATTTAACGTGTCTTGTTCCTGTTTAAGTCCTGTAATTTGAACCGTGAAAACCAAAGGAGAAAAAAAAAAAGTTGCATGTTCATAGTAACGTAATTGGGTCTATTGTATGAAACAAAGTTTCTACATTTTGTCGGCTGCAAAATGGATTGTGGATGGCTCAGATTTGGACTTCTTAGTGCAGCTCTGGAGGACTGCTGCAGCCTAACCTCTTATGGTTTCAGTGTGTGTATAAATAATTTGGAACTCTTATTTGATTGTGCCTTCTCTTTTGTTACCCCCCCCCCCCCACCCCCAAATTGTCAAACCATTTGGACCTCCATTGGAATGGATTTATTCGATTTTCTGCCCAGCCTCAGGCTGGAAAAGAAGTTTGATTTTTATTTTTCATTTTCTAACCAATATGTTCAGAAGTGTATAATTTATTTATTTTCTCACACAGCATATCTGAATAGTCTCGAATCTTATTCTTGCAGGATGAACACCACATAGTAGGATTTGCATAATTGGTGAAACCGATCTATAAATCCATATATGATGAAAAATGTATAGATTGATACTCTTCATAAATGATGGATATTGCAACTTAATTTATTTATTTTTTGGTAAGATAATACAACTAAATCTATGTTTGAGTATAAAGTATGAGACTCATGTTAACTACTCCTCCGGTTCTTAATATAAGACTCATTTAACTAATTTGACTAGATTAAGGAAGTTAGGTAAGCTAGTTAATTATAAGAAAAGTGATATATTTTTCCTACAAAAACCATAATTATCTTTTTTAATACCTCATCTTCCTCTTCTATTTGATTATGGTTAAGAGAGTATCCATAAGGGTAATTTAGAGAAAATTGATAAATATGAGAAATAGGTCTTATATTTAGGATTAAAACTAACTCAACAATTGAGTCTTATATTAAGGACCGGAGGAATATATTCTTTTTGGGGTGAAATATAAATTTGATCTGTTGAGAATAGTGAAGTCTAGAGTTTTGGACTTTTTACTTTATAAAGACCTTCAACATGTTTAATAATATAACATATTTTATTTAAAATATTAATTTTTATCATATAGTATTCGGAGGGAATTGATTGGAACAAAATGAAGAAACTGGGGTGCTTAAAATTATGTTTAATTGATTTGTGACTCAGTAGAATGAAGTTTGCCTTTGGAAAAATAATAATAATAATAAAGTGTGTGTTGGGTGTGGATTCCCACTATTTCTTGTGATGGTGCCAGCAAAATGTATAGGCTTTCTTTGTCAATGCAAATGCCATCAAACATGAAATGCCTCACTAACTTTTCCGAAGAGTGCTTTTGAAACGATGCTTTCCTTTTCTTGCACTTTTCTTCTTTTTTGGTCTCTCTGGACCCTGCCTTTCTATTTCCAAAGTTAAACTGTTTTTATTTAACTTAATAAGCAACCACTAATAAATTATTATACATCTTCAATACTAAAAAGTGGGACTAAACAAGACTTATTTGGAATTTGTAAGACTGGATCGAGTTGTATTTACTATAATGAATTTATTTTCATAATTAGTAAAAAATTTTTTAGACACGTTTCTCTTTTTTTCACACTTACTATTTACATATACTAAATAAAAAATATATATAAATTCTATTATCATATTAAACTCATTTTTTGAGCTCATTTTCACCCCATTTCTCTGTAAAACGCTTCAGATGCCAAAGGGAGCCTTTTGAACTTTGTTTTCTCCCACTTCCAAGTTCTCTAAGATGCCTTTATTCTCAGGGAAGCAAACAGTAAATGAGCCATAGATTCTACCCTCCAAGGTCCAAGCTATCATTGCAATTTTCATTTTCAAAATTGATAATTATAGGGAAGCATATTATAAATTATAAATATAGTTTTTCAAAAGCACATTAATTATCGTGCAAAATAGTTTCTAATGAATTCATCTTTCAAATTTTGCAACTGGAATTCTGGAAAAGGTTAAAAGGTGACAACTGGAAGAGGAAAACAACAAATTTTCAGTCGTATTATTCAGAAACCTGGAAATCCACCGCCATTTAATTTCGTGGCAAAAAAATTAATTTCTTTTTTCAAAATCAAAAGAAGAAAAACTAAGCTATGAGGATATAGATAATATTTTCATTTTTTTTTCGTACTTATACGTTTTTCTATTTTTAATTTCATATCTATACTTGTTTTTTTTTTTGGAACTTTGCTCTATTAGCTCTATGTTTATATCATTAATTGTTTCTGTAACTTTAATTTATTGTCTAATATAAAATTAGTTTGCAGTTAAGTTTAATATTAAATATGATATTTCAATCTATTTTGTCTAAAATATCCATATTGATTATGTTAAGAAAATTTATACCAATATTTAGTTTCAATATAAATGATTTAAGAGGATATTTTATAAATAGTAACATATATTTTGACAAATAATTAATTTAACTAGTTTTCTTAATATATTCAATTTAAGTAGACCTTATTAAGCATGATACTCCTTTTGGTACTGTTTATAAGTTTCAAATTTGAATAGGAGCATAATCTATTTTATAAGATTCAATTTGGAGTTTGTCTAAATATTTAATGTATTTTTTTATTTTTGTCTTTAATTATTTATTTTCTCTCTACCATACCCTCTTATCACGTTTTTTATGCATATTTAAAATTTATAAGAATATATTTAAAAATAAAAATATTTTAATTTATTAATTTTTTTTAATTTTATAAATCAACTATTTAAAATTTATAATAACGACGGTAGGATTGTAAATGCATGGGCATGGTTTTCTCGATGAAAAGCATCAGGAAGAATTGTAAACTTCCAAACTTACCCTTGAGGTGGGGACAACCAATGGAAAAACAAAAGCACGACAACGATCCGCCCCACTTGGAGCAGCGTGCGGTGTACAGTTCAGTGCGTTCACTCCCTTCTCTCAGTTCTCACTTCGGCTTCCTCTTTCGTCTTCCCTATCTCAATTCCAAAATCTCTTCTGATTCTCTCCAATCTCCGTCAGTTTCAATCCTTCAATCAAACAATGCCTATCAACAAGGAATCTATTCCTCCACCTGTCATAGGCAAAATTGGCCCTTACACTGTTTTCATGACGCCGCCTTCTACCCCCAAGCCCTCCGACCCCGTTTTCGACTCCCCCAAGAAGATCTCGCCTCCTCCGGTTCAGCCTCCGCCCCAGGTCTTTCACAAGCCTTCTGTTGATGCTGGTTCCGTCTCGGGGCTTTTCAAGAATGCGGTTAATAAGGTGCAGACTGGTATGTTGTCGTAATGGACATGACCTGGACTTGTCTTGGCATGTTGAACAATTTTTGCTTGATTTTGTCTTTGTTTTACATAGTTATTAGCTATTTTGTCTTTCTTCCATAATTTTTACATTTCACTATTCTTGCAATCATTTTGTTTTGGGTTTGCCAGGACGTTATTTTGGCTCTTTTTAGCTGTTAATTATGTTTTACATATTTTCTGCAATGCTGCTCATAATTCAGTCGTAACTATAGTTTCTCCTAGTGTTGAATATCTGAGTTCTTTTCCCACTATTTTTTGGGTATGAAAACAGATAAACTAAGTTTTGTTACCCATTTATCTTCAAGATGTGCTAGTAAAGGAAACCCTGGATTCTGTCTTCTCAGGTTCTTTTTTTTTTTTTTTTGGGTAGAAGTCGTCAAAATGAACACCGCGTGAGATTGTGTAATTGAGTATTGGTCTCGGAACAAGAACACTAAATGCGTTGCTTGTTTTAGTGATGATTTCGTACCCTATTACATAACGATGGATACGACATTTTGTTTGATTCTCTTGTTCAATTTGACAGTGCACTCAAGTTTGGATGACCATTTAGCACGCTGGTTTGGCTTGAACCAATCCAAGTACCAGTGGGCGCTTGATGATTATTATGAGAGCAAGGGAATGGTGAGCAATTCATTTATTTCTAAAATATTAGTGTTCAAAATCGATGTAAGCTTTTTCCGATAGCATGCAAGGCTTTGAAATCTGGATGTTCTTTCATTACCTTGTTTCAAAGTGATGAGCAGCGAAACTGCTCTCGGAATTTGGGTACTGAAAATGTTATGCTATGTTGCTATGGAGGATTCAGTGATGGTTGTAGGGCTATAAAGGGTGGGTAGGGAGATATAGTATTACTTTTGTCCCTCTTGCGATACACTGTAGTCCTCATAATAATCTGAGCTCATTTAGAGGAGCGGGTAGATTCTCAAAGTTGTCCCTCTGCTTGCTTGAGGTGAAAAGGTGGTCATACAGTTCATGATGGGTTTTAAGTTCCAATATTGGAAAGAGGGCATAGCTAAGGCCTTTCAGTTTAATATGAGGGAGAGGTTATGCCTCCAATTGAACGGCTTTGTCATCTTAAGGTTCACAAACGAAAAGTAAATAGAGGAACGGTATAAATCATTTTTAAATAACCATGGCTTGTAAATGGTCCCTGCATCTTGCACTGATTCAACTGATCATTGTGGTTTATAACTGGGGTGTAAATTTGAACCAGAACATTCATATGATTTGGCTTATTGACATGATTTTATTAGGTCATCACTGCACATTATATTCTGATTTTTGAATTCTTTTGAGGCTTATTCTCTGCAGGAAAAGGGGATATGAAAGCAAAAGAAATATCAAGCAAAGTACAGGGTGCATAACATGCATTGGCGGGCCAGTAATGTCTTTACTTCTGAATATTTTTTTCCTTAAAATATGTGCCTTCCATAACCTGCAGTTGGTGCCTGGTGTTGGTGTGCAGGATTTTCCGAGTGTGGGATATGAAAATTCTCATTTTGAGTATACTTATTGTGCCTTCTTACTTGTGCTGTAGAACAAGAGGGTCTGGCATGTCTGGGTTTTTTGACCGACTGCTATTGATATGATTTCTTCGGTTGTTTTCCAACCCCAAAAAGCTGAGTCTGATCCGTGTAATCTTATTATCAAGTAATGTCGAAGTTAGAATTTATTGTTCTTTTATCTCACTTAGCAACCTCTAATCTAAGGTCGAGCTGTGTACCTAGAAATGTTGCTGTATTTGTAATCATGAGGGAAGAGAAGAAAACCAATATTTGCCTTCTAAGGCTGGCAATATTATCTAATGCATTTTTTTTATGTATGATTTATGATTGCGGAATAATTTGCTCGTCCATGACTAAGCTAATTTCTCCCGTTTGGTTGTTACTGAGGATATGTCATTTTCTTTTCTTTTTCTTTATTTTGGGCGAAATGTTATTTTCTTATCTCTGGAATTTGACAAAGCCAGACTCTGCGAACCTTGTTCATAAGAGTTTTTACAGTAGATGACGTGTGTATCTGGCATCACAAGGCGAGGTGGATCTCCTCTAAAGGAGGATGTTCTCCGTGGGTATGAAGACATAGATAATGTAGGTAATGGCGAAGTCTGGAATTGGCGATCCCAAGATTCCTTCATCTATGTTCCTTCCTTGAAGAGTCTTGGGAGGAAAGAAGTTTGTTTTTCAAGGCAAGATTCATTCGATGAAACATATAATTATTTGGTTGATGGACATCATTTGAACTCTATGCTGTTCAAAGAGTACCCCACATAGATGTATTTGACAACTTTAGGATCAAGTTTCTGATGAATTGAATTATTATAAACAGACAAGAGCATTGAAAACTGTCAAGTGCAAAAAGATAGGGAGGATAATATTCGGGTACCTGGAGGCTTTTTTTTTTTTTTGAAAAAAAAAGAGGCAAGCAATTACAAATGAGATGGTATCCATAACATCATAGAAAAGCTTTTATGCCACTAAGCTATAATATCATTAGCTATAGGAAATTGATACTTTGATACCCATTTTAGAAAAGGTAGCTGTTAATATGACACGACATAAATGGTAGTTGTTAATATAAGGATATTTTTTGAACTTCCTATTGCCATCAAGGAGTGGGCTGGGCCGCGCCAAATTATTTTTTTTAAAAAAAAAACAAAAATCAGGTCAGGCTAATACGTCAAGTTGGGGTGGATCACAGGCATGGGGTTGCCCGTTTAGCTGTACGACAACAAAATCAGAATGACCGGATGTGTTCTGCCTAACAATTATTCGATTATTAAGAATCAATGATTATTTTGACTTTAGATTTTCCTAACATGCAAAATAAAATGGGACAAATGATTTAGCATACCTTTTCATATGAAAAGTGAAATGTATGCATATACTAAAGTCCCTAGAAAACAAAAATGGAATGCCTTTCTTTCTCTCTCTTTTTGGATTGGACTATCTGGTATTTTTGGCTTGCCTACTGCGTATTTATTGCTGTAGCATTTCAAAGATTCAAACTCTAGACTTCCAGTTAAATTGATGAAACTCCCTGGCAGTTAAGCCAAACGCTTGTTGGTCAATGGCTTTCTAATTATAATGAGGGTTCTCATCCATAATTTGGGGCTTGAGCTGTTGGACAAGTGAAACAAACTTTGGAACTGGGCTTATGCTATTACCAAGTGGTCATCGGCATCATATTATCGTTGACCCATATACCTTTTTTGTCCAAAAAAAGAATTCCATTGGGAAAACCATTTCAATTATTGAAGTTGTTAAATACTTAATGTGTGCGCATTCTATATCACAGAACAAACCACTTTTGTGTCACCCATTATTCAAAGAGAGACATGGAGTGGAATGATCAAATCCTTCAGAGTTTCCTTTCCCCGTCGCTGCTCGTGCTCCGTAGTTGTGAATACTGCCACTGATTTTGAGCTTGGTCTTACTTAACAATACCTGGTGGAGCGAGTGGGAAATATTCACATAACTCTCATTCTCATCACAGAGCATTATCACTCAGTAACAATTTCTGGCATGTTAACCCTATCAACGCAGCACATCTTCCTGGATTGTTTGCAGCATTGTTGACTCCCACACTTCTCTGTAGTAACCTTCACTTCTGTGTTCTGCAGCTGGCAACAATCTGAGCTACAACTTCTCTTCTTTCTGCATGAAGACTCCTCCTCGCCCCTTACTTTGCCACAACACCCATTATTGCAAGTTTCTGACCTTCGACAATCGTCTGACACCACTTTCCCACAGTGGCCTTCCTCCAGCAAGCTCAGATTCGAAGGCCCAGAATCTGAACAACAAGCTTTTTTGCATGCAGTTGCGGTACTTGGAATGGTCACTTCACGGGAGAAATTGCTACAGCATCCTTCTCCACAATCAGTTTGCTTTTCAAGTAATGGCTCGTTCTTATCCTTTGTGAACAACCCGTATTTGGGTTTACTGGGTACGTTTTTGTTCTTGTGTTTTTTTCTCGTTCAGAAGTAACATGCTGTTGAGAATCACAAGCAAGCAGGTTCCAACATCAGTCAAAACGGCGAGCCAAACCAGTGGGTATCCTGCTAGTGCCAAAGCTAGGATCAAACCCTTTGTGACAATGGAGAAAACGACATTCTGAACGAGCTTTCTGAAAGTTCTTCTTGCCAGATGAATGGCTTCAGGTATCTTCCTGATGTCGTTTGACATGAGAATTGCGTGCCCTGTCTCTACTGCCAGAGCTGAACCCGAGATTCCCATTGAGATGCCCACATCAGCTGTGGCTAATGCTGGAGCGTCGTTTATACCGTCTCCAATCATGGCTGTCAACCCATCTTTCTTGAAATTTTCTATGATCACTGCCTTTTCATGTGGTAGAAGCTCTGCATGAACTATGCCTAGAGCATGATTCAGCTGCAAGAAGCAAGTGAACCATTAGTTTAATGTATATTTACAGCAAGTCACATAGAGTGTTGGGTACCTAAGTAGGAGGAGAAAGCCTACCCGGAAAGCCAGCTAAGTAGCTATTAAGATGTGCGAACCAATCCACTTAAATACCCTTTAAACATCCCATATTACTTGATTGTGGGACTTAAGCATTCCATATTGTTCATTGTGGCTATCAAGTCTCCATCACAAGTCAAATGTAGATTACTATAGGCATACCTGAGTCTGAACAAGCGTAGCAGCATGAGTGCTATCTCCGGTCAGCATCGCTGATTTAACGCCTAATGACTTCAGCTTTCTATTGCCTCTAAAGCTCCAGATCTACATGTATCTGATAGGGTGAACAATCCAACTAGAGTTGATCCACTGCATATATAACCATTTCTTTCTTCCTTGCTTAGAAACTCTGCATCCCGATATTTGAATTGAACAATAATAAAGGTCATTAAGTTACATAAATATATTCATAATATGAACTTCTAAAAGACATGATGTTTGAAGCTTGAACGACATTGTTATTTGTACCACTTTGGCAGCCGGCTCTCACACATATTTTCCTGTTGCCAATATAAACATCTTTCCCATCGATTTTACCATAAACTCCTTCCCCTGGAAAATTCTGAAAATCCTTCACATTTTCAGGGATTGGTTTGATACCATGTAGCCTTCCATAATCCAATAACGCAGCTGCCATAGGGTGACTTGATTTACTCTCAATGCTAGCAACCCTAAAAGGTTTTTCAATTAAGAGGTTCTTAGATAGACCAGATTGAGGAAAACTAAATAGACTCCAATAGGTCTAAATGACAATTATAACCAACTGTATATTTTCCAGATCCAATGTAATAGCATGTTTTTGCCTGATTGGTAGGACTTACCAGTAAAGTAACAGTGGAATGCTAATATCATCTCCAACAGCAGAAAAATCTGTGACACTGAACTCCCCTTTTGTTAAAGTGCCCGTCTTATCAAAGGCCAGAATCTTAATCCCAGCAAGCGCTTCTACATAATCTCCACCTTTAAGAAGCAACCACTTTGGCAGCTTTTGTGAGGGCACAGAAGATTGTGACAGGTGTGGAGAGGATAAGAGCACAAGGGCATGCACTTACTAAAACCACAATAGCCATGTGACACCAATACTTAATGTTGGGAACCCTTAATGCTATGGGAATCACAGCAACGCCAACTGATATCAAGAAAACCCCTGCAATTTAGCTTGAAATCAGTGAAAATGCTTTCTGAATGGTTAGTCAATGGACTATGATACTGCTGCATAATAGATAAATATAAGCACTAGAATTAAGTAAAGTTTTATAGGTTTATGTTGCTAGGTTCTATAATGAAAACATGATATGTGGAGGAAATTATGTTAACAATCCAATTATGTGGGCGTTGAGCCCTAAAAATTATGCATTTGTTTTTATTGGAGAAGGAAAAGACTAGTTTAAATTGTCTCTGGCAGCCTCTTGAACTTGTGACTTGCTGGTGAAAGTATTTTGCTTTCACTCGTCAAATCATGAGTCTGAAGCAGCAGGAAGAATCAGAAAGTG